AGTTGATTTGTCAGGAATGTATTAACTCCCTGATGTTATCTGTCTGGGGGCAGCGATTCCAACATGTGGCACCAAACCGCAAGATTACTCAAACCTTGTGAGTGAAATTGGGTAAATTGAGTTGTTCGTCGATGGTTGTGCTAGCATGAAGTCCCAAGTCATTATGACCGAGGGTTTGAGTGTACTGGCTTTGTTCAGACTATTGATCACGTCAGATGACTTGCATTCTCTCAGAAAGTAATTAAGGTGTGCAGTATAAACCATGTGTGCGTCCTGTGGGTGTTGACCAAATACTAATGTACCTGAGTAGAGATTGGTTATCAGTTGGGTTTTTATTTTATAATGACCCCCAACCTCAAGGAGCTCCCAAACAAGAATAAATATGAAGTACTAAAGAGAAATGAAAAGAAGGGTGTCAAAATACATTTACCATCTATATCTATAATTCACAAAATGTGTGTGTTATCGGATGTTGTTTATCCGTTTCCACAGTTTCCATCAGATTTCTATGAAATTTCTTTTTGTTTAATGGATAATTCTTTAGGATCGGTTTTGAGTCCAAATTGGCTAGAAATAATTACAACTTTGAAGGTGAAAAATAAAAAAAAAACTGATTTTTTTACACTTTGCGCAGACATCAAAATTTAATGTCTGTAAAAAAAAAAAAAAAAACAGCGTACAATCAATTTAGAGAGTTGAAATCTAATGCAAAAGATTATTAGAATTATAAAAAAATTATTATAAATAAAAATTATCGTTTATTATTATTATGATGGTCCATGGAAGAAGTTCTTTCCTTGCAAGATTGAGAATGCAAAAATGGCCATTTTCATACCCCCCTCTCTGCTCCATTCAAATTGTCACCCAAACCAGTTTTGGGGATGTGCCTCAGTTGCACCCAATTGTTGTTACTAATATTGATTTTCAAGTAGGCTAACTTTAAACTTAAACTGCTCCAAATGAACAGCAAAAATTTGTAGTAATAAAACACCCAATCGAAGATGGGTTATACTGCTAGTTTTTGTTAAATACAACAATGTAAAACAACAGTATAACATGAGATAAACACTGTATTTACAGTCAATGAGGTTTGCACTCTACAAAATTCCTACCTTTAGGCTAAGGTAAGGTCATCAACTATCATCTATGAATATCTTTGTTCCCCATAGTGTGAGCCTGGATGTTGATTGCAGTACACATTGCTCTAATCTCTTCTCAGTACCAGACTGGTATTTAACTGTGGCAAGGGCATAATGCATTTTCGTTGTCCCTATTGTGCTAAGGACATTAACTCACCAACCTTATCTACTCGCTAGGCAGAGTGTTGTATGTAAAACCTAAATGTATTAATCATATATATCAGGTCATCCCATAAGTTCTGCCCAAATTTTAACTTTTTGTTAAAATGAACGAAATTTAAAGAGTATTTTATAATGTCTAATGGAGCTGAACATTATTTTTATGTTTAGATGCATTTAAACTGATCAAATTTTATTTCAGAGAACAATAAAATTAAATTTTGTTTGATTAAAACCCTGCTAACATGGAAGTACCCAAGAATCATTTGAGGCACATAATGCTTTATGAGTTCAAGAAAGGAAATTCAGCAGCTGAAGCGGCTAGAAACATTCACTCAGTTTATGGAGAAGAATGTGTGAATGAAAGAACTCGCAGAACCTCAAATCCCGAATTGACATCTGCTCTTTTCTCCATTCTCGCCAACTTGTTTCACCTTTTTTGGATAGACTTGTGACTGGCGATGAAAAATGGATATTTTTATTGAAATGTTAAGCGTCGTAGGCAGTGGCTTGGTAAAGGGGAAGGACCCCAGCAACAGCCGAGAAGGGAACTTCATGGGCAAAAGGTTCTTCTTTCAATCAATCTGGTGGGATCGCCAAGGAATAATCCACTTTGAATTCTTACCACCTAATGCAGTAATTAATGCTCAAATATACTGTCAGCAATTAGAGCGTTTAAACCAAGCTTTGATGAAATAAAGGCCTGCTCTAGTGAATCGAAAAGAGATGATGTTTCATCAGGACAATGCGTGACCCAACACAGCAAGAACCATGTCACAAAAGATCAAAGAACTTGGTTGGGAGAAAATTCCTCATCCACCTTATCCTCCTGATCTTGCTCCTTCAGACTACCATTTGTTTTGTAACTTACAGAATCATTTGGAAGAAACAGCTTTTGTAACACAGGAAGAGGTTAAAACTGACATTTGTGAGTTCTTCGAATCAAAGCCAAAATAATTTTACAGTAATGGAATTAGTAAGCTTGTTAATAGATGGAAGGAAGTCATAGATAATCAGGGAAAATACATTGTTGATTGAATCTGTAATTAAATGTAACATTTGGTCACTTGTTTTCTTTATTCAAAATTCGGACAGAGCTTATGGGATGACCATATATATATATATATATATATATATATATATATATATATATATATATATATATATATATATATATATAATTAAAAAACAAAACATAACTGTAAGGGTTTGTTGATTATAATTTATTTCCCCAGGATACTGATTTTTTTTTTTTTTCTTGGTTCCTCAGATCACATTTCCAACCATAAAAAAAATGCTTTAAAATTTACATATTATTTTTATACAAGCTTTTAAGGGGTAGTTTTAAGTTGATGTAAGGTGGGAGAGGAGGAGAACGACAGATATGGTCGAAATTAGAAAAGGAAGGGAGAGATAGGAATAATTTTAAATCTATTTTTATTAAGATACTTAAGAGTAAGGACCAGACATTGACCTATTTAATGAGTTATCTCACAGGAAAAAAGACAAAGAGAAAAAATGAAAAGAAAAGATATAAGAAAGTAAATGGGGAAGCAGGGGTGCAAGGAAAAAAGTGGGGAAGGAGGAAAGGAAGAATAAATTAACATATACAGGCATGTTGCAGTTAATTTCAGAAATACAGATTAATATATAAAATTAGTACACATGAAGTTTTATATATAAGATTTTAATATTATATATGCTATTATATTTTCTCAAAAGAATCCATAAACTGCATCAAGAGAAAGTGCATATATAAAAAACAAATGAGAAAATAAACAGTCAATTGCTGATATCTCCTGACAAGTGAACAAAGTGATTTCTGGTATGTCCATCTACAAAACTGTAGATTTGGTATGCTGAAGCTAACATGAATCAGCCAGGTGACAAACTTTATATTTGTTTCATAGACAGACTCATCAGGGGTATCAGCAATTGATTGCTTATGCATATTGATTTTTCTTTTTATATACACTTATCATTGGTGCAATTTTTTTGTAGTGTATATGTTCGCACGCTGCACCTATCTGTGCTGATATGCGTACTTGTCGAATGTCGTTAGTATTTGTCCTTTTCTTTTTTGTTCCCCACTTTACACTCACTCCTTAGCTTTATCCTCTTTTTTTTTTTTTTTTTTTTTTTTTTTTGTACTTTTCCACTTTCCTTTCAATTTTTGCCATTTGTTGCTATTTACTTTCCGTTTTTTTTTTTTTTTTTTTTTTTTTTTAGACATGACATTTTTAATGTTTGATTGAGTGTTCTAATCTTTTCTTGAGTTAGGGAATTGTATTTTTTTTTTTTTTTTTTTTTTTTTTCAGATAAATAATTGATTTTAATGCTTAAATTAAAGTAAATATTTATATACGTCTTCACTTGACTATTTCATTTACTTATTTGGCTTGGTGGTATCTTAACCTTTACCAGAAGTGAAAATTGTTTGCCATCTTACTTTTTTTTGCTCTAGGTGCATTCTGTTGTCTTGAGATGGTTGCTATAAATAAACACTTGTGAACTGTTATTTCTGGAATTTTAAGATGGATTTCACCTACTACTGCTTTGGAACAAGGTTAAACTTCTGTTTTTTTTTTTTTTTTTTTTTTTTTTTTTTTTTGCCATTTTGAATTTTTCTAGACTCTACACGAGGTGTAACATCAATTAAACCCATGTTAATTTTTTCATGATTTTTTTTTTGTAAACAAGAATGTCCACATCAGCATCTAATTAAGCTTTTATTCAGGAATTTTTTTGTGATTAGGGCTCCAATGATTTTAAAAGCTTTACTCAAGTGGATATTGACACTGAAGTGGTTGAAGATGATAACCATGCTAGTGACATGGAGGAAAGCGATGATAACCACTAGCACTTTCTATCATCTATGCCTGACTGAAGCTACTGGCAACCATTGATATACATGATAGCCTTTCTGAAGGCGAATTAAACGATGAATTAATAACTTTATTTGTCAACGAGAGAAATATGATAGGTGAAAGAAAGAGCAAATAAATGCCGGTGTCTTCTCATATGTAAACACAATAAAGTGCATCACTTTTTTAACAAAATGAAAACCTTTTTAGCAATTTTGCTTCTTATTGCAACTCCAGAACTCCACAAGGAGTCATAAAAGTTAAAGTACGTTGAATTATGTATTTGTTAGTGTATTTGTTTTTTATTTTGCGTTTCAGTTATTTGTTTTCAGTAACAAAACATGCATGTAAAACATAATGCATTGCATCAAAATATTACTCATTCATTCTTTTATTAGTGTATGAAAAATAAAATCTATACACACAATATGATGAAAGTTATAACAATTTTAAAAGAGTAAGTGTTTGTTTTTGCACCCTCATAAAATGGCAGTAGCGGGGAACAATTCTAAGAAGAAATTAGGGTACAGATTAAGTACTATTAAAGTATTCATTGTAGAAGTTAAGGTTTATAATTAAATTTTTTATTTATTTAAAAAAAATTACAATAGGAAAACTTCTTATATCAACCTGTTTCATTTCTCTGTTATAGATGCATAAAAAATATCATTGGGGAAAAAAAAAAATAATGTTCTAAGTTGAACATTTAAAACATTTGAGAATCTCTCGACGTTAAAGCAAACTATAGTGAATGCAAAGTGATATAAATTTTGACATGTTGAAGTGAATTACGGTTGTTATTATTATGTATACCTCTGCATTAATTTGTTATCTACAGATTGTATTTCAGCTCAGAATGAATGCAACCATACCTTGACTGGTCAATGGCCAACTGGAGCAACAAACCTTGTGGTTAAAGTAGTTGAACGTTCCTTGCAAATTTCTTGGTCTTCTGGTAAGTTAATATCTTAAGCCTTTGAATGTTAACAAATGCCATAAGCCTTTGGGTGTGGCTGAAAGAGACTGGTACCTTGAGGCTTTGGGTCACTGAAAAGAGCTTGCTCCTTGAATCTTTGAAAATTATCAAATTACACACCTTTCAATTGTTAATATCTTTAGATGGAAACCCAAATGAACTTTCTTCAGCACCAAGAACATGTCATAGCTATAAAGATATATTTAGTCGTAATTGATCTAGTGACGTAAGCTCACTAACCATTACACCACGTGGACGTTACCTGTGATGTTTCTAAGTGTAGCTTAGATGTGGCACAGGGCTGAAAGTATGGGATACCTAGTGCGGATTGAACTCACTACTTGGTTGTAATTGTTTTAGTGAGACATGCTTTCTGACCATTAGACCATATCAAGGTACCCCATACCATAGCTACAAGAAGGAGTTATTTGTTAAATAACCATGAGTTATAGCCAAAATGTTCATGGTACTGATGAAAGTTCATTTGAATTTCTACCTAAAAGTCTTAGCAACTATATTAAGTCCTTCAGCATAATTTGGTGAAATGAAGTTTTATAATCAATGCTCTCATTCAGCTGTTTGTTTTTTTTTTCAGCTCCCAGCCGGTTTATTGCTAGTTAATCTACAGTCAGCCTTACTTGCTTTCCAGACAGAATTTGTCATACTATTTGCAATATGAGCTTAGATTAAAAATTTTCCACTGAGCTATTTCATCTGTTGTTTACAAATCGTCTTCAATAGGACTGGCTTGTTTACCATCTTTGCAGTTGGATATAAAAAAAAAAAAAATCCACCTGATAACTAGTATCTTCTTGGGTTATCATGGCTCTCCACAACTTCCTATTTTTTTGTAGCGCTTAGCAATTTTTGTCTTTCTGCTATTCTTCACACTCCTATTATGTGATTCATTTCTACAAGCTCATTAAGTATGTTACTCAGTATTTTCCTCTGCCTCATATATATGATTCTATTGGACATAAAGTGGGGGATCCGTTTTCTATTGTAATTAAGTAGTAAACTGATCCCCACAGAATTAATACATATTTACATGTGGAAAATATGTATTCAAAAACTCACTGCTCTTATTGGTAATGACATAACAAAAATGGCATATGTAAACTTCTTTTTTTATTGCATTCAAAACATGGGCGATCATGGCACTCCACAACTTCCTATCCTTTGTAGCTCTAAACAATGTTTGGTCCTGTACCATTCCTTCCATTCCCTATTCTGGCATCCACAAGCTCGTTAAATAGGTTACTTGGTGTTTCCTTCTTGTTTTCGGTATGTCCTCTGAGAGTCAAATTCTGTGTATACCAGAAGTATTATTGTCCTTTTAGTTTCTTTAAAACTTCATTGTTATTTACATGTTCCTTCCACTGTATTGTCAGCATTTTTCTGCAGAACCACATCTCTGTTGCCTCAAGTTTCCTATCTTTGTTCTTCCAGATCAGGGGGTCACCAAACTTTTTTTTCACAGGGGGCAGATAACTGAGAGAATGATGAGTGCAGGCTGGATAACCATTTTGTTCAATACAATACTCTGAATACACAAAAAATAAAGATGACAAATATATTTATTTACCAAGAAGTTAACAGAAGGCGACATTAACAATAAAATAGTTATATCCATACTCGATGCAAGTTAAAAAATGATGTCTGCAGCAGACTTGTAATCGCTTTTCTTAGAAACCTAATTGCATGTACTTACACAAGAGCGCTTGGATATCAAAGGTCACCAAATTTTTGAATTCACTGATTTTCCTAAAACTGTCAGAAGCAAAAATCAGTCAGTGAGATTTGTGTCACTGTCGTTTATCTTTTAAGATAGAATCAATATTAGCTTTGGAATTGCTGCATCCAACCAAGAGAAATGCTTTCAAATGTTCATCAGTCAACCTTGTTACATGTTCTGACTTTACAAACTTTAGATTTTATAATATGTTCAGGCAAAAAAAACATGAAGATCATTGTAAAAAAAAAAAAAAAACACAATGTGCCTTTTCCAGATTATGTTCATACCAATGCAAATGAGAATTTAGACACAATGTAAGGCACATTGTAGGTTTATTATTTTTTTTTTTACAATGATCTTCATGTTTTTTTACAAGGCTCAAAAGCTACTCAAGGTAGAGGGTTACAAAGAGACACCACTGCAAACAAGGTGATAATGTCACAAAGGCACTAGAAGCTGCCGAAAGTGACAGAAAAGACTTTAGAAAGGAATAAATCTCTACTTCTGTTCTGAAGATTGGAGAGTAGTGTGAACCAGATAATAGGTGAATCTGTCTACTGTTATGGAGGAGAAAATAAAATTAGTTCAAAGATGTTAGATGCATAGAGTTGAAGTAGCTTTAGAGGTAACCGGAAGCCCAATCCTAAACAGGAAGCAAGGGATAAACCTCTACTCCTGTTCAGAAGATTGGAGAGTAGTGTGAACCAGATAATAGGTGAATCTATCAACTCTTATTGGGGAAACAAAAAAATGCAAATAATAGTTTAGAGTTTTAGGTGGAGACTTTAGAAGGAACCAAAAACCCAAGGGATAAACCTTCAAAATACTGGGAAGCAAACCTATCAACTCCTATTGAGGAGGAAAAAATTTTGCAAATATAATTTCAAAGTTCAGAAATGTAAGATGTATAGAGTTGAAGTAGCCTTTAGAGCAGTGGTTCTTAACCTTGTTAGAGGTACGGAACTCCACAAGTTTCAACCTTATAATAGGAAATTATAATAGTTTTCAACGAGGATATGCGAATACAAGTGTAGAATAAAATCACAACAGATTACAACTAGAGTTATAATAGTGAGCGACCAGATTTTTTTTTCACATGTCTGCAACAGGAGTTAAAAGAATTTCAACCATGTTGGTTTAAAAAAAAAATTCTTGCAGATATGGAGAGAATTTTGGCTTCAATAGTTGAAATTGAACAGCAACAACAGAAGTAACAACAACAAACTACCCAACAGTTGTCACAGTTGCAAAAACAACAAGAGTTGTTGGAATTGGTTTTGAAGAAAAATGCTTCATCGTCTCTTATGCCAGAAGCAGTGAAAAACACTGATTCAGAATTTGTTTACAATCCTGATGAGTGACTGACTTTTGCTGCATATTTTTGCAAACATGAAGAAATATTTAGTCAGGAATGAAGATAAAAAAAAAACAGGCTGCTGTTAAGAAAAATAACTCCAATAGAGTACAAAAAAGTACTGCAATTATATTTTACTGAGAAAACCATGTGAAATACAGTTTGAAGACATAGTACACACTCTGACAAAAATTTTTTAGTGACAAGTGTTCTCTGTTCCATGCTTCTTGGAAGTGCATGAAGTTAACCAAAAAAGAGGATGAAGATTTTGTCGCATATTCTCAACAGAGAATATGAATAATTTAAATTAAAGGAAATAACTCTGGATATGTTCAAGGGATTAATTTTTGTACAGGGCCTAACAGTAGAAAAAGATCCTGAAGTATGAACAAAAATTTTAGCAAAGATTGAACATAATGATGATGTAACACTACAGGAAATAGTGGATGTTTGCCAAACAATGCTAATTCTGAAACATGAGTGAAAAATTTCAGAATAAAGAATGTGCATTGGTAAAAGCTAAGGAAAAATGCATGAAAAGGAATATAAAACCTTGTTTCAGATGTGTAAAATTACATCTTGGGAAAGACTGTCCATGGGGAAAAAGCTGAATGCTATAATTGTGGTAAAAAAGGACATGTCGAACCACACTACAGAACTAAATCAAGAAATTTTTCACGGGAAGAAAGTAATATGCAATATTGCAATGGAAAAAAATAAGCACAAATCTTAAAATTTTTGAAAAATATTCTCCATAACCTAATATTAGGTTGGTGCAAAAATAATGACGTAATAATGTCGTTTTTTGACGTATTTTTTAACGTCAAAAAACGACATTATTACGTCATTATTTTTGCACCAACCTAATATTTTATTGAATTTTAGGTATTTTAACTTTAAATCTATTATAGTTACCATTGTTATTTTCTGATCATATTGTATGAATGTCTGTATTTACAAAAATTGGCACATTTATACATACACAAAAAATTCAAATACTTTTAAATATACTGGGGGTTGCTGAATTGTAGTAAGCTTTTCAATTTATGATTAGTAAATATAGTTTTTACTTAATAATAATATCACATAACTGACCCAAATCAATACAGAATTTAAAAATTTTAAACTTATAAAAAAAACTTATTCTAATTAAAATTAAAAAAAAATGAAAACAATTCTTGTGAAAATTCATTATTAATTGGAAAACATTTTTTTTTTTTTTTAAGACTATGGTGTCCATAATATATATTATTCATAAAAGCAGTTAAAAGCTTTTTTAATTAAATAGTGTTTTAGTTTTATTGCATTTTTTATTTTATGATTCAGAGCAGAATTTTGCTGACTGGGGTTCCTGTTTTACAAAAAGAAATTGATTTAAATTCTCCAGGAATTATTTTAGAAATTTCATAAAATTAAACAATTGGGGAGTAACAGATGTTAAAAAAAAAAAAAAAAAAAAATTACCATGATTTTAAAAAAAAAAAAAAAATTTCTAAAATAATTTTTTACTTTTGTAATCTGAAAGTTTCATTAAAATCTGACAATTATTTGAATTTTGCAAGAATTTCCAAATCGATTTTTTTTCACTGCAAAAAGATACTAAAATTTACTATACGAATTTATGGTCACACAGCAATGCAAGAAAAACAAAAAATTTTAATGTTCTAAAAAGGATTAAAAATTATAATCTAATAATCAAAAAATCATTTTGTCTTTCCTCAAAGATTTTGATGATAAAACTTTGTTTATATCAAGTTTGATTCATTTTTTTTCCTCATGTATGCTCATTTCTAGTAAATCTTTGGTGTTATATATATATATATATATATATATATATATATATATATGTGTGTGTGTGAAGAAATATGGTTTTAAGGTGTGCTATATTTATGGGATAAAGTGCACAATATCAGCGATAGTGTATGTAAATATAAAAGTGAACATTGAAGTCAACACTCAGAGGTGACAGACTGTTTCATGCTAAATGCAATCATCAGGTCACGTGTTGGTTTTTTCTCGACTATATGGGTCAGTGGTACATTGTCGGTAGTCTATTCTAATGGTTATTTTAGCGGGAGTGGTTTATTTATTTATTTGGATTAATTTATGTTACTTGTTTTTTATTAATTTTTATTTTATATATTTTTATTCTTTTTGGTTTTTGATTTTTAGTAACAGTAAAAAAAATTTTTGGGTGAGTTTTAATCATTTATTTAGTAGTTTGCTTTGGTCTGGGAAGGTAATTATAGCTATTTTTTTGTCCAACTTTTGGATTGATTGTTGTAGTCTACTCTGATGGTTATTTTGGTGGGAATGGTATCTTAATTTGTTTATTATTTACTTTATTTGCTTGGATTAATTTATTTTACTTTTTTTTTTTCCCATTTATTTTACTTTTTTTTCCCCATTTATTTTACTTTTTTTTCCCCATTTATTTTACTTTTTTTTCCCATTTATTTTACTTTTTTTTTCCCATTTATTTTTATTTATTCTTTTCAGTTTTCAATTTTTTTTAAGTAAAGTTCTTTTCCTTATTTTCTATGATATTTTGGTGTGATTTGTGTTTTTTCTTTGAATTTTTCAGATATACCTAGAAAGCATTGTTCCATTTGCATATTTACTATTTGTGAAAGATGTTTTGTGTGCATAGTTTCTTTGTTTCCAGGGTCCTTCAATTACCCTGTGTGTATTTTTTTTCTTCTTTATCTGGTGATTTTACCATTGCTTTGTATATTATATTGTTTTGTAAGCAATTACTGTTTAAGGGACATTCATTCTTTATTCTGCAGTTACATGTTGGTTTAATTTGTTCAGGTGGTTTGTTGATAGTTTTCTTGTGCTTTTTTATTATTTGTGCTATGTTATGTATGTATAGCATATTTTCTGTTTATACATTATTTTTATAGATGCAAATATTTAAGTAAATGTTCTGTTTATAATAAACTGTATTAACAACATTTACCAGCTTGAATGTAAAAAAAATTTCATAGAAAATGTGTCCTCCGGCAGGAATTGAACCTGTATTCAACTTAGAACCCTCATATAACCTGGCAAGATATATCATTTAGCTATTTTAATATATAAGTGTAAACAGAAAATATGTTAAAATAATTGTCAGGCTTAGTCCATTTCACAACATATGGTGTCATTTGTTTCTGTTAAGATACGTTTTGAGCAGATATAATCATTCAAGAGAAATTATGGGAAATTTGTAGTTTAAAAGTAATTTGACCTTGCTAACCAGATGTTTCCTCTGTAGCTAAATGGTATAGCACCTCAGGTCATATGACGGTTCCATGTAGCATACAGGTTTGATTCCTGTTGGAGGACACATATTTTCTATGAAATTTCTTGGACATTCAGTCTGGTAAATGTTGTTAATGCTGTTTACTATAAGCAGAGCATTTAATTAAATATTTGTATCTATAAAAATAACGTATAAACAGAAAATATATTAAAATAATTGTCAGACTTAATCCATTTCATATATATATATATATATATATATATATATAATTCATTTAAAAATATGATTCCAACGCTACATAAGAGTTCTCATGTTTCAAAACAAGAGCTGAAAACTTCAATATAATTATTTGAATTAAAGTATCAAGCTCTGTTCCATCTTCAAGCGAAACTTTTTTGAAATAACTTATTCCAGAAACTTACACATTTTATAAGCATATTCATTATTGAAATTAAAATTACTATGGTAACAGCTAGAGCAATTGTTTGAAGTAAAGGGGTGTAAGGATTAATAATTTGTATCAATATCTCAGTTACATTCAAAGATGTCAAGTCTGGGTAAGGTTGAAGTGTCTAAATTTAAAGTGGAAGATGACATCATCTAGTCTGGTTAAGTGTCTGGAGACTTATTTATTTTTTTATTTTATTTTTTATTTTTTTCTGAAAGGGTTTTGTGTATATAAAAAAAAACTGTCATAAGTCGCTAACATTTGTTTTTTTTTTTTTTTTGACGACTTCATAAAGGTTTTTTTTTTTTTTTTTTTTCTTAAGGCATTTAAACTATTTATTTAGACTATGGAATTTAAAAATTATTTTATTGTTTGTTTTTATGCTAATTATTCAATGCGAAAATTTGATGTTGGCAAAAAACCGTTAACTCATATCTATTGTTTAATAGATTTTTATTATTTAGAAACTTATATATATATATATATATATATATATATATAATATATTATATATAAATGTTTTAATCTACCATTTTTCTTTCTTCAACTGTTAACGATTGATAAAAAAAATTAATCACTCCATCTCCACTGAAAGCATGCCATCTGCTAACAGACAACTTGGAAATAAGTTTTTCTATCAACTGGCATATAAAATACTTTGATCAAAATTCCTTAATTTCCAGCTAAGTGGCACTGGTTCTTGAAAGTTTTGAGTTATTTATTTGCTTTATTTCCTTTCGTTGAAGGTGGCTGCTTTGACAGACTTTTAAACTTTGCATAAAAACATTGACAATATATAAATGAATTTTTCTAAATGTCTAGCTTTTCTAAATGTTTCTTTTCAGTCATGAAAAACGTCAGATGTTTGCAGATCCTTATCTATTGTGATGGTGACCCATGCTCGTGCCTTATAAAAAATTACACAAAAGAAAATGTTTCACCAGTCATTGTGAGCATTCTTATATCTCCACTGAAATATCTTTTTTTTCTATTAAAACTGCACACAATTTAAGACCTAAAAGCCACTCAAGGTAGAGGGTTACGAAAAGAGGCTGTTTTATGGATATAAGAGGAGGTAAATGCAAATTATACGGATATGTAGATGTCTGAGTGGAACTTCTTCCTTACCAATGGAATATGAAGGGAATAAAAATGATTTGGCTCTGGCTGTGGCATGGTTTTTTCCTGGCTATAAAATCCTGAACTGGTGGAACTAAGGAATGTGGCTCTGAATATTTGCCATAGAAATATTGAGTAGCAATAGAGGCTTACAATGTTTTGTCTATAGGAAAGGGATTCAATTGGGATCAAATACAGATCTAATGTGAATTGGAATCCAACAGAATAAGGTAAAGAACAAATAGGAAATGTTTATCAATATAACATGTTTCCCTTTTATTAAAGCTTCATCAGAGAATGAGATATGGAGAAAAAGAAAGAAAGAAATTCTGGTATTTTTATTTTTGTGTTGTTTGATTTTCATTGCTTAATCAGGTTTCCTGTGCATTCGACTTGTTAAACATAGTTTAATTTGTGGCATTCCAAATTCAAGGTAAGACAACATATCCTTTCAAAGTTCCAAGAAATTAACAAGCCTAACTGAAAAACCATAATATTGCTTTATGTGAGTGTATGGTAATTCTAGTTTGTCTCTGGAATTCAGATGATAATGTATATTTGTAAGTGTGTGTGTGTTTCTCGTAGATGTTATGTTTGTTGTTTTCAACATGTTGATTTGGGAACGTATTTTTCACCTACATATGATGCGTTTGGTGGAGGATGGGCATATTCAACAAAAAATCGAAAATTGCTTTTTTCACTTCAAATTATTCATTATATCATATCCAAGTATTTTACAAAAAATTGGAGTTGATTACACAATATTGCAAGCTCAATTTAGGTTTATAGTTTGTAACCCTGCAATGAGATGACATAAACTGTAGATTATATTATTATTACATAATTATAGTGAAATCATTAAGGTCCTTTGTTAAAGGCTTTTTTTTTTTTTTTTGTTGTATATTAATTTGAAATATTCCTTTTTAGTTGCATTATTTTTTTTTAAATGAAATAAGAATCATTCTAAATTTCAGAATCAAAATGACTGGAAGAAAATGATCTAAAAGCAACAATAGAAAAGCGAACTAACAAAGCGTAAGCGAAATAGCTCCAGTTTGTTTAACTGAGGAAACTTAGCATTGAAGCCAAAGTATTCTCAAATGCTGCTAATAACAAAAGAGAAAATGAAAAATACCTAACAACAAATTGAATATAGAATCAAATGTTATATTATTTTTATTTATTTGTTATTTAAATATATAATTGTCAACAACATTTCTGTAAAACTATATTTCCTGTAATAAATTCTTAATAAATTTTATTGTTCCTATTATTTTACTTAAGTGTAATGTTGTCCTACATTTACAATTCCTTATGGCTAACCATTAAAAGAAATGTTGATCAAAACTGCTTAAAACCTTTGTGTATTGTCGCAAAATTATCAAATGTTGAATATGCCCCTCCTCCACCAAACGTGTCATATATTTTAGTATGTCTATATGGTTTTGTTGGGTTTATTTTGTTTTTTACAGCATGTCAACGTCAATGGGTTATTTAATGCCAACAAGATTTTTAAGATAGGTTCATCTGAATAGAATATGTATTCTTTGTAAGAAATCTGTAGATTAGGTTTCCTTGATATATTTTAGTAAAGAGGGTTTTTATCGAGAGTGAAATGGGTTGCTGGTAATATTATCAATGGAATAGTGGCAATTGTCTGCCAAGACGTCGCAATCAAAATGTCATCCTAGACATATTTCGTGTTTTGTCTTTTTTTTTCATGTTGATTTGGAAATGTTTTTACATACACCATTTGTTTTAGACCAGTGGTTCCCAAACTTTTTCTCTGGGCCGCTTTTCCAGAATGAAAATTTGCTCGCACATCACCAAATTTTATGTAATCAAAAGTACATTTAAAAATAAAAAAAAAACAGCAGGTTAAAGGGAGATAACTGCAAATTCGAAGTTGGAACATTATCATTGATAGCTCTCTTCCCTTAAATTTGCAAACCCTAGTTACTATATTTTTAATTGATATAATGCAAAAAATATCAAAAAAAAAAAAAAAAATCTGTCAATAATTATTTATAACTATTTATACTGGGACTCATGCATGCATTTACAAATAATCCATAATATTTGAAATTTTGAAATTTATTTTTGGCATATGAATTTTTTGAAACTTTCCAAATCTTTGTCTTTCAATCATTCTGTTTCACATGCTATCCTCTTCCGCCGTACAGTTTGGGAACCACTATTTTTGATAAACATATGTTGGATTCTTTAAAAGGAAGAATTACTTGTCTTGATAGCATAAGAAAAATGAAGCAAGATTAATATGGATATAGGGTAGCATTTCTCAACCTTTTTACCCTTGTGTAACCCTTAAAAGAAATTAAATGTCTCAAGGAACCCCTGCGCAAAAACAAAATTATATACCATATCTTTCTCATTTTCATCATAGTTCATGTGGTAAATATCATAGTATATGTTTTTGAATAACTGGTTTAAGGAAAAATTAATACTTCTTTGTCAAATTTTTAGGTAATGCTAAATAAAATTCATACTGTTTGTTTATAATACTTCATCAGGGAGTTTTCATTCACACAAAAAAATTCTAAGCTCAAACGTAAAAAATAAACACAAGTAACTAATATCATATACCTATAATATAAATGTAAACAGAACAAAAACATAATTGCTGGATCAGTTTTTTTTCTTTTTTTATCCTTTACTGGCAATGTTGTAAAGACACAACGTAAATCAAGGCAAAATGTCTTGTGAATCAATAAATATTTCCTCTTGAAAAATCGCCACATTGGGTGATTAGGTATTTCTGAAAAAAAATAACAAAGAAATAAGTAATAGGTCCCGTTCACTGAGTCGATACTGACTAGTGAAGGTGGTTTCATACTGGTGCCGTACAGACATCACTAAATATATTCCCAATGATTGTTATATTTTTTAATAACATAATAGGTTATAGAGGATGATGTCTATATTATAATATTACAATAAGCAAGAATATATTGTGTGTGTTTAGTAATATTACGTATAGGAAATTAAATAAAAAGTCAAATGTGCATTAGCTTATCTAACCTGTTCTCGTGCAACACATGACTTTTTGTGGAACTTTAGGGTTCCGGGGAACCCCGGTTGAGAAACGCTGATGTAGGGATTTGGCCAAAGAACATCTCCTGCAAAATTAAGAATAAAATTGCTAAAACTGTCTTTTTTTTGTAGAAAACAAGCTCTTATTGAAGTGTATGATCTTCCCCTTTATGATTGACTTTGTTTTTTTTCTGTTGGAAATTTTCAGACTAAAATTAATTTCTGTCAGTTGAGTGAAATGGAAACCACCATTGTCTTCATATTCCATTGGTAAGGGGGAAGTACTCTTCAGACAGCTTCTTTCCAAGAATCGGGATTTTGTGGGACAGACTTACGATCTTAACCTCTTCAAATCTAGAATCAATCATTATGTATCTTACATATCCTCATTCTACAATCGTCCATAAAACAACTCCATTCAGTAATCCTTTACCTTGTTTGAAAAAAATAATAAATATTGGCAAACGTTCCCACCATAAGACGGCGTGTCAAAAATATAGTTTTTTCCATTAACACCACTATTATTTTAACTACCTTCACTTTTTGGTAATGTTTGTTTTAATAAGTGATAATTAGAACTGGAAAAAAACTAAACACATGATGAAAGTGAATTTATGCGGGATTTTTTTATTTTATTTTGTCAATGTTTTTGAGAAATTACAACAAAAATATCAAACACTTTCTTTATTAGATTGTTTATTTGCAAGAATAATTTTATATTTACAACATTTTAGCAACTAATACAATTAGAACTAATGCAATATTTATCGTTTACCAATTTATAAAGAAATAAATATGAAAATTTTTTATTCATAAATTTATAAACATTGACAAAATTATGAAAATATGTGAATCAATTATAAAGAAATCCTTATTATTTATCATTTTATAAAGTTTGAATTGATTGGCAATTAGCTGATATTTTGCCAAACATTTGAATAAATAATATTAAATATTGTAAATAAACAATCTAATAATTGCCAAGAGAAGTTGCAGTGTATGGTGGGGAAGATGGAAAAATTGTAGCTAACGGAAGGTACACAAGTCTATACCTGATCAGTATCAGCTGGGTCATTACAGAGACAGGGTATGATATTGAAAGATCCAAACCCATAATTAACATCAGCTAAAAACATCCAATAGATGTATTTTACGAAAGGTATAAATTCACTTTCATTTATCCATGTTTCTTTCTTTAGAAATTTTCACATTTTGTAATCTTTGAATGAAGCAATCATCCATGGCTGTGATTGATAATAAATTTTTAAAAACATACTAAAATGGTTCTGGTAATAAGTACCAAACTTTTCTCTTCAGAATCCCTCAGAAGATATACTGATAACCAAAAAAATTCATAACTATTCAACTGAGGTGCATACTTGGCCACAGCAAAATGTGAAACCATTGGTAATAAAGAAGAATTTGATTGTTCATGGTAAGTGAATCAGAAGTTTATTTCAATATGGGCTAAATTAAGAAACACCTACTCTGTTCAGTATGTGGCGACTTGGGAATACGAGGTGCTGTACGCTTGGCTATGTGGGTGATGTAATGGATAATGGCTTGGTGTTTTAGTTCCTGTTGTATTCATTATATTCACTTACGTGCAAATACCCTTGGGAAAGGTATGAATTTACCTCTTCTTCCCCCACCAACTATGGGTTAATTAGTAAAACATATCTCTAAACCATTATTGTACCCCCCCCCCAAAAAAAAAATCTTAGTCTAAATAAAAAATTTTCTGGCTTTAAATAACCTGCAAAGGGTTGATAAGTCATAAAAAAAAAAAAAAAAACTAATTTATGGCACTAAACCACAAGTATAAGGTACCTAGTGAGGACCAAATTTGCTCCCCAGGAATGGTCAACCAAACTAGCTTGATAACTTTGACTTCCGTGTGGGAGCACTATTCCTTCCTATTTTATTTCATAGTTTTTCTTTTGTAACATTATTTATTTATATCTGGACTGTTGTCGTTGTACTCTGTAGCATTCATCAGTTGTGTCACTCCAGATAAGTACAGTGAATATCAAATTTAACACTTTATTTAATCTTTAGAGATTATTCACATTCCACTGCCATTGTTCAGGTATATCTCCTCGTACTGCTTAGTTATTGCCCCATGTCTTTTCCTATAAGTGTTTTGGACACTGGTTAAATTAACTGGCCTCCTCATAAAAAATAGGGATAATCTTGTGGGGGATGAATTTTTATTGTTTTCAACCCACAGTATATCTCCTAATCAAAAATAGTTTTTTTTTTTAATATCATTTTAAGAGTGTGCTGTTCATAATATAAATACAATGTCAAATCATCTGGCTGTAACGTTTCTGTACTTTGTTTATATTTACAGAGGGCAAGAGATAATATAAATCAAGCATAAATATATGTGAGGTGATAAGCAAATTAGATGTTATATAAGTGGGAAGAGTTCTACATATGGAACGTAGTTGTCTTTCCTTGATTACATTATGTACTTGTGGGAACTTTACACAACACAACAACATGGTGTCGCCAATAGCATTAGCATATCTAACCTCATTAGAGCGTTCTGAGCTTGTGGAGACTTGGATGAGGTTTTTTAGTGTGTTGGCAGGAGTCAAGAAATTGAGTGACAGCAAAGATAGATGAGGAGTAAATGAAGTAATGGATTTATTTCTAGCGTCAGTGGGTTGTGAAGCCATAAAAATGTAATGGTCTATCTGAAGATGCTAGAAGACTTGACATTTGAAGAAATTGCCAACATTGTACAACAAATGTATGTCTAAAAAAAAAAAAAAACTGGTCATAACTAAGAGGACAAAGTTTCTTGAAATCAGACAAAACCTGGATGCAACCATCAGACAGTACATTCACAAGATAAAAGAGGCATCATGGTTCTGTGAATTTGAAAAGTTGGATACAGGACTGATGTCTATCGAAGAGGAATTAATACAGTTAAGGCTAATTGAAGGACTGTATGACATCTCAATTAAGTACAAAATTTTGGAACAGCTTCAAGTCCAGAACATGAATATTGAAATAAGTTTTGAATTTTTACAACAGCTAGAGTTAATTCAAAGATTTAATACCCCTAAGACTCACATAGAGACATACAGTACTATGAAAAGTTCATGTAAATATTGTTTTTGTGAAAAAAAAAAAAAAAAAAAAAAAACGAGATGGACAGCCATAAATGCTTGGCTTTTGGAAAGATGTGTTTTAAGAAGAAAAACCATTTCCAGTCAGTATACAAATATAAAAAACCAGTAGAAGTGGAAAAGATTGCTCCTCCGACAAGAAATACTGAAATTTATTAAAAGCACAAGAGTAGAGAAGGTGTAAAGATAAATGGAACAACTGTAGTAATGCAAGTGGATCTGGATAGTGATGTAACCCTAACACCAAAGAATTTTGGGGAGAAAATAGGAAGACCGAAATTAAGGAGGACCTATCTGCAATTGAAACAACGCTTTGAAGGGGTGTTTGATATGAATCATAGTTGTAGTGTGCATAAAAGATCATGGTCTCCTGGGTGGGGGGGTTGATGTATTAAGAATAGACACTTCAAAAGTAATTAATTGCATGAAATTAGAAGAACTCAAGATTGAACTTTGAAAAGTTTATGAGGTGAGTGTTCGGCTTAAAGAAAATAGCCACCGGTATATTTTCGGTCTCGTAAAGTTCTGGTTCACCTTCTGCTTGTGGTTATGGCAAAACTTGGATTTGGCCATGATTGAAAAAGCCAATTGTCCCCATACACCAAACCAGTGGAGAGTTAAGGAATTGTGGTGACTACAAAGTTGGTGTAAATCATCAGATATATTCAAACACCTTCACATTAAATTTTTTGCCAAGATTAATGCATTCAGGCAGCTCAAGTTTGAAACAGCAGGATCCTGTATTATAAAGAGTACTGAATATAATATATGGAGCAATTGCTCTATTGTGGAGAGGCTTTTTAAGGAGGCAGGGCACAGATTGACAATTCAAGGCAGAGTTATATGCAGTGGAGATCTCATTGTACCACCGAAATCATTAAGAAAAGATGTTATTAAAGCAGTACACGACACCATAAATGATGGTGTATTGAACACATAATTAAGGTTGAAACTACAAGCCTGGTGGCCAGGGTATATGCGTGATGTGGAGGATTATGTCATAAAATACCCTACATGTGCAAAGATAAAGAGCTTTAAGCAAATCAAGATTCATTCATAGCTAAAAGAGAAGGACCCAAGAGTACACATGGATCATGCATACATTAATGATGTAGGCCTATTCTTCATACTAGTAGACTCATATTCAGGTTAGCCTGAAGTGCTTAAAATTTCAGGCAGAAAAGCAAGTACAGTAAAACAGGTGTTAAGAGTAGTATTTTCAAGGAATAGAATACCTAAAACATTGATGTCAGATAATGCACCAGAGTTTGCTGAAGAATGCATATGTATGTAGTTAACACAAATTGGATGTAAGCTATGCAAAGTATCCCCATACGATCCTCAGTTAAATGGAATTGTGGAGAGGATGGTCCAGATGATAAAAGTTGGACTGAAATTGCAGCCTAGAAAATTATCTACCATAGTTGCTTTTAAGTTACAGGACCATCCTGCATGCAGGCAGAACACAAAGCCCCTTTGGCATTAATGGAAAGACAAATTAGAGCCCCAATAACCATGTCCTTCTTAACAAATGAGAAATTTATGGTACAAAACGAATAAGGATTCAAATCCCGAGGAAGCACAATTTGTAGCGCAAAAAGGACTTAATACAGCGGTATTAATAAAAAATGGACAGTTCATAAAGATCAGTTTAGATTGCAAAAGAGAGCTGGAAGATATTGAAATGGAGGAAGAGCCTGACATAGAAGTGGGGGATTAGGATTATCAGCAAGAGCTGGAAAGTGAAGGGGAGGAGAGGATGATTGTGTCTAGTGATAATGAGGAATAGGAGGATTCAAATGAAGAAAATCCTGTAAGACCCAGATCCCCCATAAAAAGGAATCTAGGCACTCACCATGAAACAAGTGGTACACCTCCTGGAGTGGATCATAGAAGTAGCAGATCTACCAAGGGCATAAAGCCTCTAAGGTTCTAGGAGATGTGGGGATATGCTATATAAGTGGGTAGAGTTCTACACTTGTGAGGTACTTATCTTTCCTTGACTACTCTGCATTCTTGTGAGAACTTTACATAACATAACAATATGCAAGGCAAATTAACATTAATAAGGCAAGTCAGCAATAATATGGCAAAAAGTTCACAAACTAAGAATTGGGGTTGACACATGTGGAGTCCGTAGGCTCAGCCAAAAATTCTCCGTATAAAAAACGGGATCGGCTAGCTGTTTCCTGAGACAAGACTTTGTTTGAGGATTCTCTCTACCCAGAGGCAGAGAGTTTGACCAGCACATCTGGAGACGAATCTCCAACTGCAGACTAACATACGGTATTTACTGCTGTGTTTATGTGAATCGGACATACCCATTATCATCCGTAGATATGCTACAACATAAATGAAAATAAATCTTTGGTCAATTTCTCCAAGCCAGTGTCTAATTTGTTTCTTTACTTCAACCAATTTCCACCTCAGATCAAAACATGTTATATGGAATTCTTTTCATTTTGTCATTCAGTTACCTAATAAAGAACCTTATATCATATTGATATACTTAAAACTTTGTTATCTTCTATGACACTAATATAAGTTGCTTATTTTTGCACTGATTTGTTAATTTGGGTTGTTGAAAGAAATGAAACTTTTTTCTTTTTTATAGACTGCTCCACTTGGAAGATAAATTTTGAATATGTCTATGATGGTGAAAGAATGAAAGTAAAGTTTGACAAAGCTCCAGAGATGTGTAATTTCAAGAAGTATTCTGTGATTATCCAGAATGGAGATAAATTGGTATTTACAAAAATTGTGGAGGACAGGGTAAGTTGTTTTCTTTCTTTTTTTTTTTTCTACTGTTGAAAACAGAGAAACTAATTTAACTGTAATCTCTCTCAATCTCTCTCTCACTCAATATATCTCTCTCTCTTTCTCTCAATATCTCACTCTCTTTATTTTTTACAGTGAGGTTCATCCTGTTCAAGGCTTGGTTGCCACTCAAGTTAGTGTTACAGAGTAAGAGGCATTGTTTATACGAACATGTGAGGAACATAAAAGTTAACCCTGATTTCAGCCTGATCTGGCTCCTGTAAAGGTAGAGGATGGCAGGAGGAGTCAGGTGCTTACTTGAGTGGTACAGGGAACCGAGCATTTTTTGAGCATTTTTAGCAATGAATAAATAGAGATTCAAACAGGAGAGATTATGGACAGTCCTCCTGGGCCCTAGCAATCAATGCAGACATCCCCCCAGGGGTCTCTTCTCTGATGAACTCTCTTTCTACATTACATAAATGATCTACCAAAGAGTATACTGTGATCATTTATCAATATCTATGCTTATACAACAGTATATGGGTGCACCTCTAAAACTATAGATGACCAAAGATTGGCTGCTGATCTTTCCTGTGATCAAGCTCTAAGATCTCAATGCTTCAAAAGCCAAACTGGTTACATTCCATAATTGCCGATTGGACCCTGAACTATCATCAACCATAATGAATGGATGTCTCCTCAGTGATACAACTCCTACTAATTAATTCTTACCTTTCTCAAGGTTATTTGCATGTAACTGCATATAATGAACCCAACTGGAATTGGAACTTAACTCTCCACCTGCATATCCAAACTTGCAACACCTGGTATTCCCAAGTGGTCTCCCATCTAGGGACTAACTAGGCTCAACATTGCTTATCTTCAGTGATCGTATGTGCCTTGAATAATTATTGGGCCTTAAACTCAAATTAGACCCAATATAAAGGAGATTACTCATCAAAAACAAGCTCATACCTTTCATAAAATTTGTGTATTTTAATCATATTATAAGTTATTTGCATTATATATTATGTTTAATGTACTTTTAGTTGTTTTATATTTTTAAATGTACATTTTATCACATAAAATTTGGTAAAGTATGAACAAATTATAATTCCGAAAATGTGGCACTGAGAAAAAAAAGTTTGGGAACCACTGGCCTAAACTGTACATCTTACTCTATAATCCTCTACCTTGAGTGGCTCTTAGGCCTTGTACATGGAGAACCTCACTATAAAAATAATAATAAAGAGGTTGTGTTGTTTGCTTCAGTATAGACATATTTTCAGTTCCTGTGCGGTCCTGAAAGCAGTCTTTTTTAAAACTAAATAACCCTCCTTGTGTAAACAGGAGAGGTTTAGTGAGCTCTGATAAATGAGGCATAAAACTAATTAACTCATTCAATTTGTTTTTTTGCTTTCTTGCTCTTAATTCAGGTGGTTTCTGTTTTCATACCAGTTGAACTACGTTAATTGTGCTTGATTCATTTTTTTTTTTTTTTTTTTTTAATTATCTCCATTTTTATTGCCACAATAAAATCCTGTGCTGCTTATAAGATTGTCTTAATATCTAGTTGAAATATTTTTCTTACTATTGTTTAAACGATACAAGGCACAAGAGCCACTCAAGGTAGAGGGTTACTGAATGAAGTCATTGTATAGATGTAAAAAGAATTGTAGATTTTGAGGATATGTAGGACACATAATGGTTGACCTTAGACTTGAAGAGGTTAAAATTTTAGGGGAAAGAAAAGAAACTCCCTCAGATTGATTTTTCTATTTAAAAAAAATAATAAAAATGCTAGAATATAAGAAAACAAAAAATTATTAATGAGAGAGTACAATAAAAGAACAGAAATTAAGAAGACAGAAGATAACGATTGACATTGCATTTAAATTTTTGAAGATCAAAGTTGACTAGAAAGCAAAAGGCTGGAAGAGGATTTCCACAAGCAAGAAGTGCAACGGAAAAAACTGTTAGCATAGAACTTACGGTTACATCAAGACATTTTAACTGCAAAATGATGAGACCTTGCTGCCAATCTAGTACTGCATAGTGATACAATTCCTACTAATTAACCGACAACTGGGAGGGAGTTGGGAATTCATATGCATGTAAGTGCATATAACAAATTCAACTGGAACTTGACCTACCAATAAGCAATTCCAAACCATTATCCATTACACCACCTGCATATCCAAGCTTGCAGTACCTGGTATTCCCAAGTGGTCACCCATCTAGGGACTGACCAGGCTCAACGTTGCTTAACTTTGGTGATTGTATGCTGTTTTTTGTGTATTATGTGTTTGTCTTGTTCATTGTTTACTCAAATATTGACATGGATTAGTTTTATCCTTTTATTGTTTTGTTTGTTTGTTTTGTTGTTTTTCTTTTTTTAAGTTTTCACCCCAAGCAAGGTGAGAGGGAGTACAACTAGTACGCAAGAGAGAGAGTGGGAGCAAGAGTAAAGTGGTGGGATAGAGGAAAGGATGGAGAGAAGGACGACGAATAGATCAAGGCATCTGGAGATGTTGAAATCGCATTTGAATAGTTGGAGATTATAGCTATCAGGGAATCAAGTAAGAGGAAGGGAGTTCCACAGATGGGATGTGCAAGACATGAAGCTATTGAAGTAGAAGAGATGTCTGCATTTAACTGTTTTGACAGTGAAAGGGTGGGACTGAGATGCCAACCTAGAAGCACGTTTAAATTCATGCAGTTTGAGAACTCATTAAACTAGCTTGTTGGAGCAATTACCATGAAAGTATTTGTAGAAAAGACAGAGGGAGGTGACTGCATGTCTGTGAGAGAGTGACTGTAAATGAGATGCCAGATCAGGGCCAATCACATTGCATATCCGTCTCTGGATTTATGTTACAATGATATATTGGATTAGTGGAAGAGTGATCTAGTATTAATGGGAGTTTCCTTTCAAATTTTTTGTTTTTGTAGTGTGGAAAGCCAATATCTTTATTATATCATTATAAATGTTTTTTTACTTTATTTTATAGGGAAATTCATCCACACTAACAACTGTATTTTCATTTCCATTTCCACTTTGCAAAAACATGTATTACATTGAGGTGAGTACATAGTAATTTTTTTTCATTTCATTTTTTTATTCATTTCACTCCAAACAAGGGAATAAAGCCACTAAAACACAGGGATTTAGTGAAACATTAAGTGAAAACAATAGAAGAATAATCAAGAGAGTAGATAATGATTGACATTGCATTTAAATTTTTGAAGATCACAGTTGACTGGGAAGCAAAGAAGCTGGAAGATGGTTCCTCAGGTGAGAGAGAAGAGAGAAGAAACTGTTAGCATAGAACTTAGGTTACATCAAGTCAATTCAACTGTAAATTGATGCGACCTTGCTACCAATCTACTACTGAGCTTAAATTCATTAAGTTTAGGTACAATAGCAGAAAGTTAATCAGAACAATTACCATGAAAATAATTATAGAAAAGGCACAAGGAAGCGACATTACGATGGTGAGAAAGCTATTGAAGCAGTGATGTCAGGTCAGGACTAATAACATTGCAGATTTTTCTTTGGATTTTATCAAGAATTGCTAAATATATAGCAGGAGCACCTTATATCTGGCAGCAATATTCAAAGTATGAATGAATGGTAGACTTATAAATATGTAAGATAGATTCTGGAAAGTGAAATTGTGTACTTTTACTATAATTCACTTGGATTTAATTGTTTATTGTTATTTGTTTTTTTATATTAAGAAAATTCAGAATTACTCTTCCAAAATATCTAACTTTGAAATTATATACACTGTTTATGTAATCTATTTATTCTATATATAAAACTTTGTGACTTTTGTTAGTCTGACCATCACATCCTCTAAAATAGCAATTGGCTGATCAAAACCATATTTGGGGGAGAAGTGCAAACAGGTAACAGGGTACAGAGTACAATTGGTTTTACTAGGGTGCATGGTGTACAATAAATTTTCATTCGTGTTTGTTTTTTTTTTGGGGGGGATTTTATTGTTTAATATACAAAATGCTCCCACCACTTTAAAAACAATTTAATGATTGAAATAAATACTTATTTAATCAAAATGCAATATTGTTTTTTGCATATCTTTGAGTTTTTATATACACAAGAATCCAAGTTCCAGTTCAGCCCGTGTTTGTGAGAACTATAAACAAATCACAAGGCCAAATGCTTTAAAAAGTTTGAATTTGGCTCCAGGAAGAAATATTTACATATGGCCAGTTGTATGTTGCCTGCTCAAGAGTAAGAAATTTATTCTATGCTGTTAAAAAGAAAAAAAATGAAATTTTCTTTAAAAATATTGTTTACCTTGAAGTCTTATTAAATTAAAGACATTATTAAACTGTGAAGTAGGGTTTTTGTCAAAGTATTTTTCCAAACAAATCAGTTTATTCAAACTTCATTGATTAGTTTGTGAAATTGAATGAAATGTAGAGTTTGTATATCTCTAAAAAAAGAAATGTTAACAATAACTTCAAAAATACTAAATATTGTGAGGATTTGAACATGCGGATGCAAAAAAAGTTCTATTTCTGATTAAATTAACCATTTCCAACCAGGTAATGTTTGGTATTCATTGACCAAACAGCATCACTGTTGAAATTTGTAAAATCCCTGTTTCAAAACAGTTTTTCAGGAAAATAGGCTTCTCATGTCTCATGCTGTTGGAGTTTCTTGGATGTTAATCACTTGTTCAACAGTTTTGCTACAACTCTAGACTTAAATTTCAAATTCTACCAAGATAGGGTTACAGTTAAATTTAATTTCTGCACTAAAAAGTATAAAACACAGAATTTTGCTTATTGGAAAGATGTTGTCAGTGATCAGCACTCAAATTGAGTGTCCCTGAATGAAACTTTGCCACTACATGTCCATTTGTTAAACAGTAGCTTCCATCATTGTTAACTGCATACTATTGATATTTTTTGCCAATATTTAATAACTTTTATTAACGCTGGGAGCATCATTTCAAACTTTACATTTTTAAATAAAAAGAAGGTACAGATAACTATTTAAGAATTCATGGAAAAAATTGATGCTCTATTTATATTATGAACAGGGCCCGCCTTCTAAAAAAATTGATGCTCTATTTATATTATGAAAGGGCCCACCTTCTAAAAAATTGATGCTCTTTTTATATTATGAACAGGACCCACCTTCTAAAAAATTGATGCTCTATTTATATTATGAACAGGACCAAAAATTGATGCCTTTTATATTATGAACTTCTAAAAAAATTGATGCTCTATTTATATTATGAACAGGACCCACCTTCTAAAAATTGCTGCTCTATTTATATTATGAACAGGACCCACCTTCTAAAAAAAATTGCTGCTCTATTTATATTATGAACAGGACCCATCTTCTAAAAAAATTGCTGCTCTATTTATATTATGAACAGGACCCACCTTCTAAAAAAATTGATGCTTTATTTATATTATGAACAGGACCCACCTTCTAAAAAAATTGATGCTCTATTTAAATTATGAACAGGACCCACCTTCTAAAAAAATTGCTGCTCTATTTATATTATAAAAAGGGCCCACCTTCTAAAAAATTGCTGCTCTATTTATATTATGAACAGGACCAACCTTCTAAAAAAAATTGATGCTCTATTTATATTATGAAAAGGGCCAACCTTCTAAAAAAATTGCTGCTCTATTTATATTATGAACAGGACCCACCTTCTAAAAAAATTGATGCTCTATTTATATTATGAACAGGACCCACCTTCTAAAAAAATTGATGCTCTTTTTATATTATGAACAGGACCCACCTTCTAAAAAATTGATGCTCTATTTATATTATGAACAGGACCCACCTTCTAAAAAAATTGATGCTCTATTTATATTATGAACAGGACCCACCTTCTAAAAAAATTGCTGCTCTATTTATATTATGAACAGGACCCACCTTCTAAAAAAATTGCTGCTCTATTTATATTATGAACAGGACCCACCTTCTAAAAAAATTGCTGCTCTATTTATATTATGAACAGGACCCACCTTCTAAAAAAATTGATGCTCTATTTATATTATGAAAAGGGCCCACCTTCTAAAAGAATTGATGCTCTATTTATATTATGAAAAGGGCCCACCTTCTAAAAGAATTGATGCTCTATTTATATTATGAAAAGGGCCCACCTTCTAAAAGAATTGATGCTCTATTTATATTATGAAAAGGGCCCACCTTCTAAAAAAATTGATGCTCTATTTATATTATGAACAGGACCACAAATAACAAGGGTTGCTGGTTGGAGAATAATTAAACATCCAATTATTCAAATGCAGTGTCAATTGACATCTCTAGATGCCTTGATCTATTCCCTGTCCTTCTCCTCATTCTTTCCTCTTTCACACCTCTTTACTCTTGCTTCCACTCTCTGTAACCCCTTGTGTGCTAGTAGCATTTCCGCCTTGCTTGGGGTGAAAAGCTTAAAACAATACCAGATATAAACAAAAGTCAATTTACCAAGTAGCCAGTCAGAGTAGCAATCCAAGCTGAAGTAGTAAGAGGAATTATTAGGAAATCTTCATGCACCAGATATAAATATCAGGCTACTTGATAAGTTGCCTATCAAAATAGTAGTCAAAGTAACAGTCCAGGTTGAAGTAGTTATAGGAGTCTGTTTGCGTTTTGTTTATTTCCTGTCATACGAAAATTGCCTTCATGAAAAGAAACTTGACTAAAAGAACAAGTTATGTAAAAATTGCCTCAGCAAATTCTTGATTATGAAATCTTGTATTTTCTCTTTTTTTGCTTTTTTCTTTTTTTGCTTTTTCTTTGTGGAGGAGTTGAATATTTTTATAAGGCCAGTTCTTCATCCACTCAACTTTCTACAAATCAAACCCAGTTCTTTTATTTGTATTTGATGAATTAATTTCACTTGTCCCTTAAAAATAATGTAAAACTAAATAACATTTGATTAATTGCTGTGGAATGATTTTTTTCTTTTCTTTAATTAATTCCAGATCGAAAAGTTTTCGGAAACAGTCAACAGTTGCTTGGATATTGAGAGACAAAAAAGCAGTTGTACTTCAACCAGATCTCTGGATAAGATGTTTATACCTCGTAAGTCCTTTTTACTGCTAATTGTTTGAAAGGATTCCACTCTCTTTCATAATGAAGTTATTGGTGCTTTTTTCCTTCTTGCTTATAAACAGAATTTCTCTTTGTCATTATATGCTCGTTTCCCCTGCAAAATATGTAATTATTAATCATTTTTTTCTCAACTATCAAAGCTAATACAACAGCTTTTTCTTATTCCTTTACTACAACTTGGACAAGTCAGGTAATTGTGAGAAACAGCTTTTCTATGTTGCTGTGTGAAGAACAACACTGAAAATGGTATGAAGCATAAGAACTGCCCTGATTTCAAGTGTACTAGTGTAAAATGGTTGCAATTTGAACAAATTGTGCTGATAATTGAAACTCTTCTCAATATTTCTTTGTTTATGAATGGATTTCATCTCTTTTTCTTTCATCTGTCTTGCTTTTCCAATGCTTTCTCTCTCTCTTTTCCAATGCTTTCTCTCTCTCTTTTCCAATGCTTTCTCTCTCTCTTTTCCAATGCTTTCTCTCTCTCTTTTCCAATGCTTTCTCTCTCTCTTTTCCAATGCTTTCTCTCTCTCTTTTCCAATGCTTTCTCTCTCTCTTTTCCAATGCTTTCTCTCTCTCTTTTCCAATGCTTTCTCTCTCTCTTTTCCAATGCTTTCTCTCTCTCTTTTCCAATGCTTTCTCTCTCTCTTTTCCAATGCTTTCTCTCTCTCTTTTCAATGCTTTCTCTCTCTCTTTTCAATGCTTTCTCTCTCTTTTTCCAATGCTTTCTCTCTCTTTTTTCAATGCTTTCTCTCTCTTTTTCAATGCTTTCTCTCTCTCTTTTTTCTCTTTTCTCTCTTTCTCTTTTCCTCCTTTCTCTCTTTTTTCCAATCCTTTCTCTCTTTCTCTTTTCTCTTTGCTTTCTCTCTCTCTTTTTTCCTTTCTCTCTTTTCCACCTCCTTTCTCTTTTTCCTCCTTTCTCTCTTTTCCACTCCTTTTTCTCTTTTCCACTCCTTTCTCTCTTTTCCACTCCTTTCTCTCTTTTCCACTCCTTTCTCTCTTTTCCACTCCTTTCTCTCTTTTCCACTCCTTTCTCTCTTTTCCACTCCTTTCTCTCTTTTCCACTCCTTTCTCTCTTTTCCTCCTTTCTCTCTTTTCCTCCTTTCTCTCTTTTCCCTCCTTTCTCTTTTCCTCCTTTCTCTCTTTTCCCTCCTTTCTCTCTTTTTCTCCTTTTCTCTTTTCTCCTTTTCTCTTTTTCTCTTTCTCTCTCTTTTTCTCTTTTCCCTCCATTTCTCTTTTTCCTCTCATTTCTCTTTTCCCTCCATTTTCTCTTTTCCTCCTTTTCTCTTTTCCACTCCTTTTCTCTTTTCCTCCTTTCTCTCTTTTCCTCCTTTTTCTCTTTTCCTCCTTTTCCTCCTTTCTCTCTTTTCCCTCCTTTCTCTCTTTTCCCTTCTTTCTCTCTTTTCCACTACTTTCTCTCTTTTCCACTCCTTTCTCTCTCTGTCTCTTTTCCACTACTTTCTCTCTTTTCCACTCCTTTCTCTCTCTGTCTCTTTTCCACTCCTTTTTCTCTTTTCCACTCCTTTTTCTCTCTCTCTCTTTTCCACTCCTTTTTCTCTTTTCCTCCTTTTCTCTTTTCCACCTTTTTCTTTTTTCTCTTTTTCCTTTTTTCTCTCTTCTCTTTTCCTCCTTTTCTCTTTTCCACTCCTTTTTCTCTTTTCCACTCCTTTTTCTCTTTTCCACTCCTTTTCTCTTTTCCACTCCTTTCTCTCTTTTCCTCCTTTCTCTCTCTTCTTTTCCTCCTTTCTCTCTTTTCCCTCCTTTCTCTCTTTTCCTCCTTTCTCTCTTTTCCTCCTTTCTCTCTTTTCCACTCCTTTCTCTCTTTTCCACTCCTTTCTCTCTCTCTCTCTTTTCCACTCCTTTCTCTCTCTCTCTCTTTTTCCTCTCTCTCTTTCTACCTCTCCTTGTCTCTTTTCCACTACTTTCTACCTCTCCTTGTCTCTTTTCCACTACTTTCTACCTCTCCTTGTCACTTTTCCACTACTTTCTCTCTCTCTCTCTCTTTTCCAATACTTTCTACCTCTCCTTGTCACTTTTCCACTACTTTCTCTCTCTCTTTTTTCCACACTTTTCTCTCTCTCTCTCTCTTTTTCTCTTTCTCTCTCTCTTTTTCTCTTTCTCTCTCTCTCTTTTTCTCTTTCTCTCTCTCTCTCTTTCTCCCTTTTTCTCCCTTTTTCTCTTTCTCTTTCTCTCTCTCATTTCCTCTGCTTTCTCTTTTTATTCTTTCTTTCTCATTTCCTCTGCCTTCTCTCTCTCATCTATTTTTGTTTACTTAATGCCAAATGACTTTACTTTTTCTAGGTATACCCTGTCCTCAAGATAAGAATAAAACAAATTCCAAAACAAGCACCCCAGAGGAAAGCAATGCATCTATGACATTATTCATAGCATGTGGTCTGTTTTTCCTATATTTAATCCTGCAAGCAGTTTATATTTTGATATGTAAGTATTAGATATATTTGATACAGTTCCCATTATGTGACTATAAGCTTAGAGCATGCATAATTTTTCAAATAAATTAGATAAATTCCGTGATGCCTCTAATGAACAGGTGAATCTTTGTTTGCAAGAACAGTTTTATTTCTGTTTGTGCTGTACAAGTGCATAATATTGAGAGTAATCAATCTTGAAATTCTAGCCGATTGCTCCAAAACAGAAAAAATATGAAAATAATATACATGAAGATTAATTAAAATGAAGCAAAACTTGTGAGTGGAAAAATGCAGGTCATCAGAACACCAAGTGTCACCAAAGCACCAACGTTGGCTAAAATACCAATAATCAAGGCCAGTCGTGTCCAAAGCACCAGTGTTGGCTAAAACACCAATAATCAAGGCCAATGGCATTCAAAGCACCAACGTTGGCTAAAATACCAATAATCAAGGCCAGTTGTGTCCAAAGCACCAGTGTTGGCTAAAACACCAATAATCAAGGCCAATGGCATTCAAAGCACCTACCTTGGCTAAAATACCAACAGTCAGTGCCAGCAGTGGCCAAAGCATCGACAGTACCAATGCCAACATTGTCCAAAACACTGATAGTTAATGCCAGTTGTGACTAAAGAACTTGTGGTCAGTGATCAAAGCAACAACATTGGCTAAAACACCAATAATCAGTACCAATGATGGCCAAAGCCCTGACAATCAATGCCAACAGTGGTCAAAGCACCAAAGTTGGCTAAAATACCAATAATCAACTTCAGTTGTGGTCAAAGCGCTGACAGTCAATGCCTGTGGTGGTCAAAACACCCAGCCATCAGAAAGTACTCGTACAACATGTTATTCTCTCATCAACTGGACAAATCCTACTCTCTCCACATGTTTTGGTTCCAGTCTGCATCAGCATGCACAAAAACTGAGAAAGACCTCAAGGAGGTGGAAGGTGGGAAAATTGTGACAGCAAGAGATGAAAAACACAAATCACTTCCAATATATATAGTTATTTTTTCAGAGAATCAGTTGGAAAGGTCAGTGATACTGGAGACAATTTCTGACAGAACAGACAAATGGACAAGATCTTCCCCTAGGCAAATGAGAATTTTTACTCTTTTATCATCCTTCTGATCCTTTCTGCATCACATTGCACAGATCTCATCTACCAAATAGACAGTTTGGTACTTTCTCAAAGAACAGCCTGTACACTGCCAATTGGCATGCACAGAACTACCTTCAATTCTAACTGTGACAGTTTAATATAAGCCTGCAAGCAACATTTTCTAGCTTCTGTCTAAGTGGCACTTGTTTTCCAAAGTTTTCATTTACTTAGCTATTTTATTATATAACCTTTTCATCAGCAGGGAGCTACCTTATTACTTCTTATTTTATAGACTTTACTGCTGGTCATAAAAACACCAGACACTTCAAGGCTTATGGCCATATCACGTTGAAACACTGGTTTCTGTATGATCAACGGTTAAGCAGCATTGAGTCTGGTCAGTACCTAGATGGGTAACTGTTTGGAAATACCAGATATTGTAAGCTATTTTGTGTAATGGATAATGGCTTGGAACTGTTAATTAAGCCAAGTTCCAATTCCCTTTGTATGTTTTATATTCACTTTGTATGTTTTATATTCACTTATGTGCAAATTTCCTTGGGAAAGCTATGAATCAACCTCTTGACCCAGCTATAGGTTAATTAGTAAGACTTGTATGACTAAAACCATTATTATACCCACCCCCAATAAAATTATAATGCCTGGTGTTGAACCTGGTCAATGGCAACCAATAATGTAATGCCAACCAATAATGTAATGCCTAATTTGTCCTTATCGGTGGTAACCAAATCTGTACCTCTGTCATCGGCTCTAGTCAGCAGTAACCAGTTATGCCACCCAGTCCTCAAGTTCCCTGAAACGGCCGTGGTTACCATTTAGCTGATTTTTCACTTGTTTTGTCACTGGTATCGTGTTGGTGGCACGGTTTCACTTGACTTAGCTGGCATTTTGTCTGTTCATGACCATTCACTCTTCTGTCATGTTGTGTTTTTGATCTCAGAGGGTGAAAAGATCTCTGATGAAGCAAACTGAAGTGACGACAGTTCAACAATTTGAGAGCTACACAAAAAAAAAAAAAAGAATCCTTTGGAATAAAAAATTAACTCTGGTTAAAAATGTAACAATGATTTGGTTTATATATGATTTGTTGTACACAGCGGTTTTAACCCTTCCTACTTATTGTTAAAATCAAATAACACTGGGATCCCCTTTGGAGTCTGCAGCTTGTTTTAGTAGTAACTTAAATTTCTAAGTTCTTGTCTTCACGTCTGGCACAAGGTCTTTGGTCAGGAGGTCTTGGTGAGCGATGCAGTGTCCCTCTCTGTCTCTCTTCTTGTCTCTCCTATTCTCTCAACTGATTCCAAGTTCAAAAGCTCCACCTTATATGGTGTCCTGCATCTGGCAGGTTGGGAGGGGGGTGACTAGGGTCTGGGTTTGGTTGTCTTCTAGCTTAAGTATCAACCTTTTCTAAATTCTCATATATAAAAATACATTTACTCAAGTGGTT